CTGGAAGAATGGTTGGAGGCAGGTGCCAGATAATCCAGGCAAACCTGGGAACAATGGTAAAGTGTTTGCTTTTCTTCCAAGTATAAAAGGAACATTGGGAGAGTCTAAACACTGGAATGGAACACTTGTGATTTCTGTTTGTGGTGATAAGCCTGGCTGCCATATGGAGAATTGATTTAATGGATTCAGCTGTGGACTGAGGTGCTGACCCATAGTCTAGGTGAGCTATGGTGATTGCCTGGCATGCACTGGTAGGTTTCAGGGAAGTTGAAGAAGGATGAATGGTTTGTGATGTGTTTTGAATTAATTTTGGGAAGTAAGCTTTTTGATGGAGTGAGTGTAGGGCTTCAGGGAAGGGAGGATCAAGGTTGACTCCTTGTTTTCTGTCTTAAGAAACTGAGAAGGAGAAGATGGGATGTGGAAGTAGGTAGGTTGGGGAAGGATTAAAGATCTGGTTATGGCATACTCAGTTTGTAAGCTGTGAGATTGTGCAAATTGGCAGAAAGTCCGTATTTGGGGTTTGGAGTTAAGTTCTGGGCCACAGATCAATTTGTTGACTTAAACCTAGAAATTAAATTAATGAGAACAAATACTATCATGGAGGGAAATAGTATAGAGAAAAGGACTCAAGGATGATTCCTGAACAACTTCAATCTTTAGAAGTTACATGAGGAGGAGCTAGTAAAAAGAAGTAAGAAGAGAAATTCAGTGAGGTTGGGGAAATCCAGAAGTAACTTGTTGCAGAATCCCAAACTTTTAGTTCAAAGGTTGAGGAGTGCAGGCCATGTCTAATGCTGATGGAGATGAGGATGAAGTGTCCACTGGATTAAGCAACAGAGATGCTGCTGCTGGTGCTCAAAGAAAGGTTTGGGTGGAAAAGTCAGAGGTCAGACTGAAGTGTGCTGAATAGTGAGTGGCTTATTAGTAGTCAGGGATGAGCAATTCGAATAGCAATGACTAACACTGAGCAATAATACACTGAGCTAGACCAGAAAAACTATATAATTTAAAAGCAATGTTGGGCAGAGAGGAATGATCATATCATCAGGAGGATAAATGGGAAAAGCCACATGTATGGGCAGATAGTATCTCTTGAAAATTAAGAATATACTCACCCCATGGTCACTCAACTCACCTTTGTATTATAAAGAGAATGTATTATGAAGACATATATGAAGATGTACATTGCAACATTGAACACAGAACAGAAAATGAAAGTAACCTGTTTATCTATGATTTAATGGCTAAACAATGGGCAGTAAATAAAACCAATTTGGTGGATATTCTACAGCAGCTGTAAAGAATGAGATAGATCCAAACATACCACTATAGATATCTAGTCAAACATAATGTTGAGTTAAAAAGTGCATTAATGAAAATATGTATTGTATCATACCAATGAGTGAAATGCATGTGAACATGTAGCACACACACTTACAAATGCACAAAGGCCCATATAAAACACTGTATAATTCTATATTTAATGCAAAAGAAATGGATCTGAGCTGGGCACTGGCAGATCATACCTGTAATCCTAGCCCCTTAGAAGACAGAGATCAGGAGGCAAATAGTTTGTGAGACCCTATCTTGAAAATACTCAACTAAAAAAAAAGACTGGCAGAGTGGTTCAAGTGGTAGAACACCTGCCTAACAAGTACGAGGCTCTGAGTTCAAACCTCAGTACTGCCAAAAAAGTATAAATGTAACCCACTATAAGTGGCAGTGTTAAATCCTAACATAGATGGACCTGAATAATGTCAACATGTTACAATGGATACCATTGGGATGAAGGAAAGGAAAGCCAGGATTTGGGGCAAATGAACTTGGATTTATCTGATATGTTCTCATTTTTTAACAAGATGAATTCATCTATTTACTAGTAATAGTTGATAATTAACATTTTTTAAAGTGGAAAGAATGAATGGCATGTGTAGGAAGTAGCTTTAGCAAGGGCTGAGTTTCTCAATGGCTGGGGTCCTTGCCATCTACGTTGTTCTTGAACATTTTCTAGTAAGATAACCAGCATACGGTCAGCTGAACAAATGACGGGTGATACAGAAGATTCACAGGATAGCCATTTGGTGATAACAGTTAAAAACCCTAGACCACTACTACCTCTTACTGTTAAGACTGGGAAATAATAAATTATTGCATTTCCCATGTTTGTGCTCCCCAACTTTTTGTTACTATACAATTGTTTATTTGCAGATAATAATTGTACATCTTTATGGGGCATTATGTGATGTTTGGGTAGATTTATAGATTGTATAATGTCTAATTATTTGTAGACATTTCCCAACCATATAGCCTAAGGTCAACTGTTGAATATAATTTTCATAGTCAAGAATCTTCTGTTGTGACTCAAACTAATGAGGTGTTAGTTGACCGGTTTATTTTCAGGATATTCATCTTTGCTCCTTTCTTATTGATATGACAAATATTTTCTTGTCTCCCCCCCACCTTCACCTTATCTAGATCACAAGGAAAATCCAAACAAACTTCTTGACCTAAGAGAGAGAGAGAGAAAGATTTTCAGTTTTAAGTTGTAGAACCTTTCAAATGTTCTGTTCCAAGCAATAAAGGAAATTGGACTTGAGCAAAGGAAAAGGTAGATAGGGATGTTGATACAAATTCAAAAGGAAGTGTTGGTGGGAAGGAGTAGAAATCCTTGAAACAGACTTGCATTCAATGGATGAGATTCAAGGGAAAAGCTGTCTTTCAGGATCAGAAGGTTAAACCCTCTCTACCAACCTGAGGACAACCCACCATTTAACCGCCCTGGCTTTGAATATGACCACCATGATCCTAGCTTAAGAAAGTAACAGCATTATTATTCAATATTGGAGTATCTCATGTACTGTTGGGAAAAGTCCCTTGGAACCCATTTTTCAGGGACTAAACCAGGAGAAAAAAATCCACTAGTGTGCTATTTCTTCATCTGTCTATATTCTACTTCAGTGTATGTATGTCTATATGTGTTTGACTAATTCTCCCCAGGCTACAGATAGACAAGGAATGTGCCTACCTCCTTGCAAGGCTTAGGAAATCACATTGTTTTAGAAGCATTTTTTATACTGACTGAACAGAAATCTATCTTCCTGTCCCTCCTATTTTTGTTCCTAGCAAAGACATCATACACCTTAATCCATAGAATAAATTAAAATATCCAAAAACAATGCTTGGGTCATTCTGTGGTATCTCTTCCTTTTCTTCTTCATTTACCCCTAGAATGTCCTCACCTCCTCTGTTAGAGTACACAGAGGTGGATGGGCTGGCTATCTATCACCTATTAGTATCCAATGCCCTCAGAAATGATAGGAAATGAATGTTCAAAGTACGGCATAGAATTACATTGTATTTTTCAATGCCACCAACTATTCTTTTTATATATTCCATTGTTTATAGAACTCTTATTATTTGTAGCCCTGCCTATTATGTTCTCCTTCTCATGGTCAGCAGAAAGAGCTCATGGTCATCCTGTCATCCTTGGGGTCATCTTGTGCCAAGTTCTGACTACGGCAGCGGAATTGCAGAAGTGAATTCCCTGGTTTTCTTCTCTGTGACCCTACACAATTGTGCATAAGCATAAATGCAAGTGAGACAGGGCTTGGACAAGGTACAAAATCAGGCTGTGTCCAGAACTTTCTAAGAGGCAGAAAGTGGTCACTGGCTGGGACTCTCTGGGATACTCTGGGCTGTGCTTCAATCTGTAGACACCCCTTTCTGAGTGGGCATTTTAGCATCATCACAGTCCCCTGGGATTACACAGATATACAAAGAAGGGAGGAAGAATCAAAGCAGGGAAGTTCCTAGCAGCTCCCTCCCACTTCTGGGTTTTTGCATGTGTGAATGTCAAGCAGGTCCCTGCAGTTGTCCTTCCCCAGGTGTCCTAGGATCCCTGGAGTAAGGACAGAGATCCTCAAAGCTGTCAAGATGACATGCTGCCATTATACCTTCTCAAAGCTTATTGCACAGAAGTGGCAGGACTAAAAGGTAGGTTAGAAGCATGTAAGGTGGGGTTCAAGAGGTATCTCCAACAAAATCACAGGCAGTGAAGCAACAGGAGATGATGCCAAGATGATTTTAAACATATGTTTCCTGACTGAGAAATGATGAACTCAGCAACAAGTAGCATCATAAAACTTGATACTTCTGCTTATTGTATATAAGAAGTGGGGGGGCAAGGTATTCTGTGGGAAGAGAGCTTAATATGTTCATGTTCATGGTATTATAGAATATCATGGTCTATATGTTCTTGGTTAGTGAACTTATATATCATCTTACAGGCCTTATCTAGTGTAACCTACATACAATAACAACTGACTTAAAACTATCCCCATAGAGAAACTGTAGCTGGACATACTACTAAAATTACAGAAAACAATAATAATAATAAGACAAGAATATAACTTTATAAAGTAAAGTGAGGGCAGTATAATTCTGAGAAGTTGCCTCAAAGAAAGTCAACTGATATGAATGATTCTTTGAAATATGGATTTATTTACATTCACCATGGTTAACAATCATAACCAAATTATAAACTGCATATCAAATTATGATAATATGCATGCATCATGATTAAGACATGTAAAATTTTTATTTTATTATCCTTTAGATTTATACTTTTGGGTATATGTTATAATGATTATAATAAATACACATAAAGTTAATGAATAATATTCTTTTATTGATAGGGATATGTGAATAAGAACACTTGGAATTTACCCACATCTCTGGGCCATCGGTTGGTGTAAGCAACAAGAAGCATGTGACTTAACTGGACTAGGCAGCTGAGTGGGTGAAGAGACAAGATCAGGAAGGGATAAAAAGTGATCTTAGGTTTCATACTGGGATTGTGTTCAAATGAAGGACATGGTGTCTGGAGGAGAGGTGGTTTGGGATAATCAGAATGAGGTGAGCTATGGAAAGGCTGAACTGCTGATGACCTCGTCAGGACATGGTGGTCTCTTACGATGACTTATTGATGACTTACTGTGTTTTCAAATAAAAGATTCTGTGAAAGCTTGATTCTTTATCCTGGAATTTGCTGCTGATATCACAGGCTGGTTGTAATTTTTAGGATATAAATAGAAGTTAGTGTTGTTAGTTTCACCTCTCTCCTGGGTGAGAATGATGGGCTGTCTTGCCACAGAGGAGGTGCCTATAAACCAGCCAGGATAGGCAACAGACTGAAAGACAGAGGTGGAGCCTTCTATATCATGGAAAAAGAGAAAAGGCTTCTGTGCTTTTTTCTCCTTGTACAGGTCCATGATGTTGATCTCCTGGGAGTAGGAAAGAATCTTGTTAGTAAGGGAGGAGGGGTTGGGGGAGCTAAACTAACTCAAATCTAGGAGAGTGAGTACTACCCTAAAAGTGAAGAACAGGCTAGAGATGCAGGCTAGGAAAAGATATCAGACTGTCAAAACAGGAACCTACTAGTTTCCAATAGCCTAGCTCCACCCCAGGGTTCCACCACACAGGGTGCTACTGATTGTTTAAGGCATCATTGTCTTTTTGCCCTGGAATAGAAAGAGGTTTAATTTCTTTTTCTGGAGCTCACAGTATATATTCATCTGCAGGTTCAGGAAAGTGTCACTGAATTCCCAGTTTCCAAGTTGGGTTTATATATTACATTATTAGCAGAAGGATTAGCTTAATATCCACAAATCTTCATTTTAGCACCTAGATATAAATATTTACTGTGTAAAATCCAGATTAATAGTCTCTCTCCAATTGTAAAAAAAAGTAGCTTTTGCCTAAGTGGGGGCATTTCCTCATCTTAAAGGACTTCTAGGCTGCAGTTCTTCAGGAGTACGAATGGAGAAGCCACCATTCATTCACTTTTCAGAAACATTCTCATGGGTTTATCCTCTGGTTTTCAGAGGATCCATATTCTGACATTAAAATAAGTGTTTTGACCATTCCAATGGCATCATGTACTGGTTTCAGGACCAGCCAGGTCAGGTTTTCTTCCTTATACTAAACAATCCAGGATTACAAAAATGTCATTTTTATTCTATAATACATTAAGTGAGATAGAAAGCCCATTTAATATACTTCTCACTAGCTACATAACCACTCACCTTAAGCTGCAAAGTAGGCTGGCCCTGAATTTCTGTGCAGAAGAGAGAGAGACCTTTGCCCTTGATTCCCAGGAAAACCAGATTGCCTTTTGCTTCATCTTGGAATTCTGTGTCTCTACATGCTATTAAGTCAAGGGTGACTAGAAACATAAGGAATGATGGAGAAGATGTCAGGATCCAAGTACAGGAAAATCCAGTCCTCTGGTCTCACACTTGTTATTCCTTCAAGCCAGGGCATAGTGAGCATCTAGCACACACAAAGCCCCCCAACAAACCAGCTTCCACCGTTAACCACATGGCAACAAATCCTTGATTGCTTTTCTGAAACCCACTTTCTTTTTCTTCCTTCATATCAAAACCCTGATTGTCACCAGAGCCCATGATTTCAATCTACCGCCCCCCCGCAAATTCCTATCACCATTTGCAGCTAAATGTGACCATATGCTTAAGGTGTGGCCATGAGATATAAGTGGAAGTGTAGTGTGGGAGTTTTAAGAATGTTGCTTAAATGGAGTTGACTCAGCTGGAAAGAAAGGATTCCTTCATTACACTCTGTGTCTTCTTGTTGCCCACCTTAAACACTTTAGTGATGGCTCAGGAACCCCCGAAGTTGGTGAAACAAAAGTTAGAATCCTTAGCCTCTGTAGCATCATGAAACCATGATGAAACCATGATGTAGCCTGGTCACTCATTTTTCCATGAGAAAGAAATGCACTTCCATTTTTTAAAGTCCCAATTGTGTGAATTTTCTGTTCCTCTCAGATGAATTTAATTCTCTACAAATTAGCAAAAGAATCCCAGGAATTTAGGCATTCTACATCTGTCTTTCAGGGGGACAGGGAATGGATCCATTCAACAACTGTTTATTAAATTCCCAATCAGGACAAGGCACTATGCAGGCTTTGGAGATTTAGATACAGCAAGAGAGACTTTGTTGTTGTTCCCATGAAATTTATAATCTAGTAAGAAAATTAGATGAGAAGATATAAACAGAAAAATAAATAAAACTCATGCTAAATTGCAATACTTGCTTTAGGGGAAGGGACCATTTTAGAATAGCAGAGATAATAAAGACTTCTTTGCTGAGGTGAAATTCAAATACTTAAAGCTAAGAGAACTCTATTATATGAAGAGATAGATAGGGTAGTAGAGGAAGTTGGCGTAAGTGGAATGTTATAAGGAAAGGAAACTTTATGTTAAGTCCCCTATATGGAAAAGAGTTTATAAGTTCAAGGCCCTGCAAGCAGACCAGTTCCCTTGAACCCTCCCCACACTTCCTCCACACACCCACCTAGGAACACAAACACATGGGCATGATCTTACTGAGTTTCACATATTAAGAAAGTTCTCTGTGGAGAATGGATTACTAAATACACAAATGAAGTGGGAAGGAGGGCAGTGATGAAGTGATGGTAGTCCAGGACAGAGATGACATTATCTTTGAAATAAGACACATGGTGCTCATATACCCATCAGTGTTTGCCTATGGATTGGATGAGGTATGAGGAAAAGCAGGAATCAAGGAGGCCTCCTGTATTTCTGGTTTGAGAGAACAGAGCAGGTGGTAGTGCTGCCTAATGGAGACCATCAGAAGTTTTGAGAAGATGAAGCCATAGTTCCACTTGGGGCACATAAAACTGGAGATGTCAGAGAGGACAAGAGTATATCACTCAGAGAGATCTGTGTCATGACCATAAATTCCAGAGTGGTAAGTAGAGATGCCTGAACATCAAACCGGTTGATGGGCCAGCTCACCATCCTTTCATAGGGCTTGAATGGCTTGTAGACTGGGCCTTGAGGAGCCCCATCACTTGGAGACACAGGGAGAAAGTAGTGTTGTAAAGGGAAGGTCAAAAGAGAAGCCAGTGAATCACACAAGAAGAAGTGTTGTTACAGAAGAAGATAAAAAGTGTTAAAGAGGAAAGTTGTCAATTTTACTAAATGGGACTAAGGGGATTGAGATCAGAGAAGTGTTCTTTAGACTTAGGTATTTGAAAATGGCTTCAGAAAGAAGAGCTCAAGAGGAGCAAGGAGCATTGTAGAAGTCAGATTGTTTTGCTGCAAATGTGAATAGGAAGCAAGGTGGAGAGCAGTTGTGAGACCAGCTCTCCCATGAAATTTGGCTATGATTGGCACAGAAAAATGGAATGGCAATAGGAATTGAAGGTGAGACTCAAGAGAAGGTTTTTAGTATTAAGACTGGAAATATTATATTAGAGTATGTTTGTCAGTGATGAAAAGGATCCAGTATACAAAAATGGAACACATATCTTAGACATAAATTAAATCAAACGTGGAAGTCCTGTAGAATGGGAAAGATGCCAAAACAGACTTTTGATGGAAGAAATGTTCTCCCATTATTAGCAGTGAAAATACAATGTTAGAAAAGTGTATAAGTTTAATGGTAGAAAGATGAGGGGGTTTTAATTTAAGGACATAAGTAGTGATAGTTGGAATTTAAAGGAGAAAAATTCCAAGGAGAAGCTTAGTCATTGCTTCAAAGGACAATCCTTGCTAATCTGAAGATATTTTCTTTTGGTAAGAGGAGCTGTCAATCCTTCACACCTTTTTTTCTAGGTATGGGTTTTTGTTTGTCGAAGGAAAGCATCTTGAGAAGAACAGGGGCCCTGGCTCATACAGGCTCATCTCATTCACTTCAACAGCAACAAGGGCTTTAAATATCACTCACCAGGGTTGACATTGCTGCTAGAAGGAACTGCTATCAATGAATTTCCATTCAGAACCCACACCATTTGTTGAGAATCATGAATACCATAGGATCTGGGCATTTCTTGCACTAGCAGATGACAGAAAAGCATAAAACAGGTGAGGTTTTAATTAATTTTAGGACTTCAGTTGGAGTCTGATAATGATAACTTATGAATTCTTGGGTTAGGGTTACTGTATATAAGAGGTATTTAAGGAGAAAGCAAGGAGAAACAAGGCAGGGGCTACTTTATGGATCAAGGCATCAGAAAGGATCTAAACATATTCATGGTCCCAAGAGGCTTTTGAGATTTGACTTTTTTCTAAGGTTATCTTTTTCTGATTGATAAAGTCTCTGGGTAGCAACAAAACCTATAATATATAAATTGGTCATCAGCATATTATTTTTTTCTTTAACCTCTTAGTCAAAATAAACAAGAAATTCTAAATACACATAATAGGAAATGGGCTACATTTGCTGAGATTTTCAAATACAAATTTCTGAAATGTTACCAGAGCAAATGCATTTTGTCTTTGGTGAGGTTGATCATAGTTCCAAGTTGGTTTGTGATTTACCACTTACATTCTGGGATTGACATGTTGGCTTCAAAGCTTTCTGTAGGGAAGACAAGGTGATCAGATGATGGAGAAGAGGCTATCAGCTGCTGATCCTGAGAGGGAATGAGAGGAAAAATATGTTATCCATTTCTTACCCCTGTCCCTGGAATTTTGTTGTAAAAATTCTTTAGAGAGCTTCTCTGAGTCCTTGTCCCAGATGCATATTTTAAAGTAACATGGCCGCAAACCCTTAGTGGCAGCTTCCATTCCTGTGGTAGCTGTGATGTTCCTGGGTCTCCAGGCGGTGATGGCCTTGGGCTGCTGTTCATCATCACATCTGGGATGTTAGGAAGTTCCCAAGCATCACCCCAGCTATCATCTGATGCAGTGAGTCACTGGTTTAGAGCAAGGAAAGGAGCCGATGTGTATCTCTGTTCTAGCCCTTCCCACTTCTGGTGGGTGAGTTATACTTTTGCCACCTTTAGGCTGAGCACTCTTGAGTAACTGGCAGCAAACTTGCTTCTCTGATTACCAGTCTTCCTCCACTCTTCATCCAAAGAGGTGACTTTATGGATCCTACACATGACAATTTACGGCCATGCCAGGTATTTTGACTCTCAAAGGACATATGCTTCTGGGCTTCTCGGTAAGTGCATCAGAGCAGTTCCCTAAGAAATTAATAGACTCTTTACAATAAGGACTACTTATTCACAACCCTCCCTGCTTCAAGATCCTCAGGGACTGAGTCAATAGTTTTCCTTAATCAAGAAATAAGCAAACCACCAACCAGCAGCACTCTTATAAGAAGCTCCAGCTCTTCCAATACCCTGTACTTTGGACCAAGACCTTCAGAAACATCTCAGACTAGAAAGAGAGCAATGAAAGAAGGTTCCCCACACATGGCTTCTTATCAGTGAGAATAACCTTTATCCAGAGATGTCTTGTTGATGGGATCAAAATGGTGGCTCTAGCTGCATCTGAGAGTCCTGGGAAGCTGATCTAGGACTGACAGGCTTTTTAATGAGCAAGCAAGGAGCCCTATCCCCTGACCCTTGGGTGTGCCCACTTTGGCAAGAAAGCTGAGCTGGAACACAAGTCCCATGAATCTTTGGAGGGATGGCAAAGAAGCAATACAGGTGTGACTGGTCTGGGCTCCTTGAGAAAAAACAGCACCAGGTAATACAGAGGCCAGATACTCACTTAAGGCAGACAACATCTTTCTAGACTGCCTTGGAGGCAGAGGTGTGGCTATCTTGACTCAGTGAAGTTGTATTCCTGTTCACGCCTGATCTCTGGCAAATCACAGTACTCATTTAAAGAGTTTTGCATACCCAATATGCCACACTTATTTTACAAATATTGAGAGCATATTTTGTTTCTGATCAAGATATAAGAACTTTACCTAAGTAATCTTTTAATACCCATAATAACTGTTAATGGGCCATTAACTTTTATTTTTCACATCAGAAAACAGAAGCCCTGAGAGATGACAAAATGTACCTCAAGTCACACAGCTTGTCATACGGTATAGCCAAGTTAGAAGACAAGTCTTCCTATTCTTAGCCATTATATGCTGTGCTCCCTCTGGTTCTTGGTCTCCTGTGTCCTGCACTAGCTAAAACACAAAGGAAAACCTCCAGTGTGGCCAGGGGATTGAATTCATGTGATAGGAGAGACTTTGGAGGTTTGAAGCTTCCTAACTCTGAATCAAGAATCAGATGAAGCCTGAACATTGGCAATGAAAGGTATTCATTGTTCCTGAAACAAAGTGTTGGTCAGCGTAAACATTAAAAATATCTTACAATCCTACTCATTCTGTGACATAATTTGCTTTCATTTATCTTCCAACTACTGGTCACGATTCAACTCTCTGAAATCCACAATTAAGTCTCTTCCTTGGAATGTAACACTAGCCCCTCACTCATCTCTCTGCTTCTGTTCTTTCATCCCCACTAGAGTTAAATGTCTACCCAGTAGTGACCAGAATGAAGGACAAATATGGTCTTATCACTTCCCTGCTTAGCGCCCTCTTATGACTTTACTTTATATCCAGAATAATAACCAGAGTTCTTATAGGTCACCCATGCCCACATAATCCTGCCTGTTTTCTTTCCTCTCTGTCTCTGACCTGTAATTCTCCTTGCTCTAGCTGAATTAGATGTTTGTTAATTTTCCCAAATTGTTCAGATTTTGGCCATTGGTTTTTCATTTAGTTCTTGTGCTCCTCTGAAAACATATCTTATCATTACAGGTTTTTAAAAAACATTCCTTTCTGTCACTATAAGTTGGTGTAGACTATTCTTGTGTATGTCTTTCTCCAGTTCAACATTCAGCCATTTTTCCAAAGGTGCTAGGTTTTGTGTTACTATGACTATTCTTGACCTTCATTCTGTCATACAGTTATAGTACTTGAAAATAATTTGATCATTGTGGGCTTGATTTTAAGATCTGATAGTTGGACCCAGAGAAACATTTAGTCTAGGTGCAGTTATTTTTTATTACTTAAGCAAGGTCTTTCTGAATATTTTGCCCAATGCTTGTGAATTACACAAAGTTTCCAGGTGAGTGGGTAGGAACAGATGTTGTTCTCTCTAATCCTTTGGAATGCTTTTTATCTACAACTTTAGGGAAGATAATCACAATAATAGCACAAAGAGTGGAAAGGAGCAATTGGAAAATATTATTATGTAAGGTCCTTACATTACACTTACAGTGGTATAAAATTATTTGAAGGTCGTTTCATTAATTAAGAACATAGAAGCCCTAGGATAGTCAGTAAAAACATTTAAAGATATAAATAATAAGTCAATAGAATAGATAAAATGGAATCATAAACTTACTGACTCAATTGAGGTTGGGAGAGGACACACAGAAAAACAGAAAACAGTAAGATGTTGGATATTAATCTAACCACATCAATAGTTAAGTTAAAAGTAAATGTTATAAATGTACCAGTTAAAAGACTGAGATTTTCAGATCAAATAAAAAATGTAAGACCTAAGCAGGGCTCAGTGGCTCATACCTGTACCCCCCAGATGTTTAGGAGGTAAAAATTGGGAGAATCACAGTTTGAGGCTAGCCCAAGAAGAAAGTACTCCAGACCCTATTTCAACCAATAAAAAGATGCAGTGACCTACATCTGTCATTCCAGCTTCTTGGAAAGCATAAATAGAAGTATCCCAGTTCAGGCCAGCCTGAGCATAAATAGGAGACCATATTTAAAAAACAACTAAAGTAAAAAGGGCTGGGGGCGTGGCTCAAGTGGTGAAGTATAGTGGCTGTCTAGCAAGCAGAAAGCCCTGAGTTCTAACCCTGGGACCACAAAAAAAGACTATCAGTTGAAATTTTATTCTTTGTAATATAATGGTTCCTAAAATAATCTGAGTAGCCCTGCTGTGGTTTTTCACTTTTACTTGTCCCCAAGTTTTGAAAAAAGATATTGGAACATTCTTTTTTGACACTCACTGACAGTTTCTAGGGTTCCACAGTCATTGCCCCATCTTTCTCACCCTACCCTGACACTTCAGCATTTGAGTAACCTCGTTGCTGATGAAGATGACATTTTTCTCCATGACAACTCCCTGAATTTGCATTTCTCACGATCCCTACAAAAAGGCAGGACTGTTTCTCCTTTGGTTTTCTCTGTGTTGGTGATTTCCCTACAGCTATGGGGTGACCAGGACACTTGAGGGAGTGAAAGGGCTTTAGTAGTAATTGCACTGAGTTGACAGGCATAAACTGAGATGCTCTTGCACCAACTGGGGTACAATGGTCTCCAAACACAGAGCTGTGGAGGAACGCTATCACTTTTGACATTGCCTGGACTTTTTCTAGAAGAAGCAGTTCAACCTCTTTAGGAATTTGTATTATTTTTCTTGATTTTTGTTTTCTGAAACATGCTTGAAATTTATGATATTTTCTTTTAGTGCCTGTTGGGATACATGCTGTAATTTTTTATTATAGTAAGAACAGTTGATATAAGATTTATTTGCTTAACAAAATTTTAATATACAATATAGTTCTGTTAGCAGATCTCTAGAACTTACTCATTTTGTTTAACTGAAACTTTATACCTGTTGGAGAGAAGCTCTTTGTTTCTTCTTCCCTCATCACTCTATTCTGTTTCTATCAACTTGACTGGTTTAGATAATGCATCATCAAGTAAAATCACATGGTATTTGTACTTCTGTGACTGGCCTGTTTGGCAGCAAAATGTGCTCTGGGCTCATTCATGTTTCCCCAAATGGCAATATTTTCTTCTCTGTTAAGGCTTAATAGAATTTCATTGTATGTTTATATCACATTTTTTTATATCTCTTCAGACTCACTGGTGGTGTTCACAATATGGCCATTGTGTTTAATGCTGCAATGAATGTGGGAGTGCACAATGGATTAAGAATTTTAATGTAAAACCTGAAACAATAAAGTTCCTGTAAAAAACATAGGGAAAAAATTTCATGACATCGGCAAGACAAGATTCTTTGAACTTGACACCGAATACATAGGAACAAAGCAAAAGTTGACAAGTGAGATTACAAACTGAAAAATTTCTGTACAGCAAAGTAAACAATAAACCCAGAAATTATACTTCTGGGTCTACATTCAAAAGAACTGATATGAGGATTCTGAAGAGATATCAATGCACAGCCTAAACTTTTGTTCCATGGTGTCTTCACTGTCATTCATTTCCACTTTAGTCTGTTTTCAGTTATTTTCTTTTTACAATGTTTACTTGTTCTATTTCATATATGTATATAAAGTACATAGATCATATTCACTCTTCTTTATCCCTCCCATTTATCCTTCGCCTCCCAGAAATACCTACTCCCTCATAGGACCTATTTTACAGTTCTGTCCTTCATTTTTAATTTCAAAGTCAGTGTTTAAAGGCATTTCTCGATGTATTTCAGCTGTGAATATACTGTACATTGGTTAGTTTAAACTCCTTTATTACTCTCCCCTTCCCTCCTATCCCCTATTATTCAACACCTTTCAGTATGGATCTTTATGTCATCTTCCTGCACAGCTGCAATGTATTTTCACATTGTTCATTCTCTATCATTCTCTTTTCCTCTTCCTTCTCCCCCAAGTTCCATAGAATAGTTCCACAATTACAGACATGTTCTTTATATAAATGTGTATATGATCAAGTTTGGGTTTGTGTGTAGGATAGTCTTTTGGATCTACCTTCCACATGCAGCCTTGCCTTTCTGAACCTGGGTTACTTCACTTAACATGATGTCTTCTAATTCCATCCTTTTTCCTGCAAACAACATAATTTTATTCTTCTCTATGGATGAGTATACTCCATTGTGTATATACACCACATTTTCTTAGTCCATTCATCAGTTGTAGAGCATCTTGGCTGTTTCCATAGCTTGACTATTGTGAATAGCACTGCAATAAAGAGAAGTGTGCAAGTGTCTCTATCGTACCCTGACTTACATTTCTTCAGGGATATGCCAAGGAGTGGTACTGCTGAATCATATGGTAGTTCTGATTTTAGTTTTAAGGACTCTAAATACTGTTTTCCATTGGATTACTAATTTACATTCCCACCAATAGTGTGCATGGATTCCTGATTGCTAACATTTGTTGTGTTTGTGTTCTCAAAGATAGCCATTCTAACTGGGGTGAGATGAATCTTAATGTAGTTTTGATCTGCATTTCTTTTATGGCCAGGGAAGCTAAACATTTTTTGATGTATTTATTAGTTTTTGTACCTCTTCCTTTGAAAATTATCTATTTAATTCATGTGCCCATATATTCATTGAGTTGTTGATTTTTTAGGAGTTCAGTTTTTTGAGCTCCCTATAAATTCTGATATTAGTTCCGTAATTAGATGGCAAAAATTCTCTTCCATTATGTAGGCTATTCCTTGAGTGTAGTGATTTTTTCCTTTGCTGTGCAGATGCTTTATAGTTTAATGCTATCCTATTTGCCCATCCTTTCTCTTAATTGCTGAGCCATTGGAATTCTATTTAGGAAGTCGTTGCCTATGCTTATATGTACCATACAAGCATAGCTATTGCCCTACTCTTTTCAGCAATAGTTTCAAAGTTGCAGACCTTATATTAAGGTCTTTGATCTACTTTATAACAATTGATATTGGTATAGGGTGAGAGACAGGGATTTAGTTTCAATCTTTTACATGTTGATATCCAATTTTCCCAGCAAGATTTGTTGAAGAGTTGTATTTTCTCCACCACATATTTTGCAATCCTTTGCCAAAAATCAGTTGGCTGTAGCTGGGTGAATTTATGTTTGGGTCTTCTATTCTGTTCCACTAGTCTTCATGTCTGATTTTGTTCAATACCATGCTGTTTTTATTGCTTTGGCCCTGTAGTGTAGTTTGAAGTCAGGTATTATGATACCTCCAGCATTGCTCTTTTTGCTTAGGATTGCTTTGGCTATTTGAGGTCTTTTGTGCTTCCATATTAACTTTAGGACTGATTTTTCTATCTCTTTAAAGAATGTCATTGGAATTTTTATGGGTATTGCATTAAACATGTAGATTGCTTTTGGTAGTATGCCATTTTCACAATATTGATTCTGTCAATTTATGAGCATGGGAGATCGTTCCACCTTCTGATGTTGTCTTCAATTTCTCTCTCTCTCTCTCTCTCTCTCTCTCTCTCTGTATATATTCTTTATTATATGGAGGTCCATTCCTTCTATTCCTAGTTTCTTCAGTGCTTTTTGTCATGAAAAGATATTGAATTTTGTCAGAGGCTTTTCTGCATCTAGTGGGATGGTCATGTGATTTTTATCCTTGAGTATTAAATTTATCAATTTGCATATGTTGAACCATCCTTGCATTCCTGGAATGAAACTAGTTTGATCATGGTGTATGATCATTTTGATGTGTTTTTGAATTTGGTTTGCCAGCATTTTATTGAGAATTTTTATATCTATATTCATTAAAGATACTGGCATATAATTTTTTTTTCATCCTTGTTGGGTTTTGGAATGAGTGTAATACTGGCTTCATAGAAGGAGTGTGGTAGTGTTCCTTCCCTTTCTATTTCCTGGAAAAGTTTGAGAAGTATTGGTATGGTTCTTTAAAGGTCTGGTAGAATTCAGACATGAATCCATCAGCTCCTGGGCTCTTCTTTCTTGGGAGACTCTTTATTACTGCTCAATATCATTGATTGTTATAGATCTATTTAGGTGGTTGATATCTGCTTGGTTTAATTTTGGTTGGTTAAATGAAACTAGAAATTTATTCATTTCTTCTAGATTTTCCAGTTTACTTGAATACAAGTTTTCAAAGTATTTCCTAATGATCTTCTGGATTTCATTGGCATTTGTGGTGATGTCTTCTCTTTCATTTTTAATTTTATTCATTTGGGTCTTTTCCCTCTTCCATTTAGTCACATTGACTAAGGGTTAATCAATTTTATGAATACTTTCAAAGAACCTACTTTCTGTTTCTTTAGATAGTGTTTTTAATCTCAATTCCATTGATCTTGGTCCTGATCTTTATTATTTCTCTCTGTCTGCTAGTTTGGGGTTTGGTTTTTCTTAAGGTACACCTTTAGGTTATTTGTTTAAGAGCTATCTTATTTAAATATAGGCACTCTTAGCTATAAATTTTGTTGTGTCCCACAGGTTCTGATAGACTGTGTTTTTGTTTTCATTAGGTTCTAGGAACTTTTTGACTTCTCTCCTTTTTTTATTTAATGACGTACCAGTCATTCAACAATGTGCTCTTCAGTCTCCAGGTGTTTGAATATTTTCTGTTGTTCCTTTTGTTGTTGAGTTCTTGTTTTATTCCATTGTGACCAAATATGACATAGTGGTTTTTTCAGTTTTCTTAAATCTACTAAGACTTGGTTTGTGTCATGGAATATGATCTTATTTGGAGGAAGTTCCATGAGCTGCTGAGAAGAATGTATATTGCACATTAGTTGGATGAAATGCCCTGTTGATGTCTATTAACTCTAATTATTCTATTGTGTCTATTAATTCTGGTGTTTCTTTATTGTTTTTTGTTTTGAGCTATCTATTGGTGAGAGTGGGGTATTGAAGTCTCCCACTTTCTCTCTGTTGGGGCCTATCTATGCTTTTGAGTGATTGTAGTGTTTTCTAATGTGCACCAATGTTTGTCACATATATGTTAAGAATTGTTATTTCTTCTTGATGAATTATTCCTTTTACTAATATGAAGTAACCTTCATTGTCATTTCTGACTAATTTTAGTGTGAAGTCCACTTTGTCAGATATGAGTATAGCTACTCCTGCCTCTTTTGGGGGTTCATTTTCTTGGAAGATCTTTTTTTACCCTTATGTTAAGCCAATGTTTGTTTTTGTAAGTGAGACATGTTTCTTGTAAACAACAAATGGCTGTGTCTTGCTTTTTAAACCAACTTGTTATTCTATGCTGTTTGATTGGTCATTAACATTTAGTATTAATAGTGAGAGTTATGTAGTATTTCCAGTCATTTTATTTATTTATTTTTCTGATTTTTACTTTCCCCCTATTCCTTGCATGCTAGTCTACTTGGTCATTGGGGTTTATTTTTTCTTGCATTTTCCTGGGTGAGTTTAGCTTCTGATGTGTGCAGGATTC